AATGGAAGTGGGAACAAATATCGATGGACTTTATAACTAAGTTACCCCGAACTGGAAAAGGGCATGATGCCATTTGGGTGATTGTAGATCGATTGTCGAAATCTGCTCATTTCTTGCCAATCCGAGAGGATTATAAGATGGAAAAGTTGGCTCATATTTATATAAATGAAATCATCGCTAGGCATGGAGTACCTATTTCCATTCTATTGGATAGAGACAGCCGTTTTACGTCAAGGTTTTGGCAGTCACTCCAGCAAGGGATGGGCACACGGCTGGATCTAAGCACTTCTTATCACCCCCAGACTGATGGACAAACCGAAAGAACAATACAAACCCTGGAAGACATGTTGCGCGCCTGTGTTATAGATTTTCGTGGAAGCTGGGACACGCATCTTCCGTTAGTGGGATTTGCCTACAACAACAGCTACCATACCAGCATCCAGTGTGCGCCTTATGAAGCTTTGTATGGGCGTAAGTGTAGATCCCCATTGTGTTGGTCAGAACTTGGCGATAGTCAGGTAACTTGGCCGGACGTGATCCAAGAAACTACTGATAAGATTATAGCAATCAAAAATCGACTCAAAACTACAAGGGATCGTCAGAAAAGCTATACCGACAATCGGAGGAGACCATTGGAGTTCTAGAAAGGAGATAAAGTTTTTCTAAAAGTCTCACCATGGAAAGGGATAATGCGTTTTGGAAAGAGAGGCAAGTTGGGTCCTCGTTATATTGGTCCTTAGAAATAGCAGAAAGGATTGGGCCAGTGGCATACAAGTTAAACCTACCCCCGGAGTTAAGCGCTATCCATAATACATTCCATGTATCAAATCTCAAAAGATGCTTAGCAGACGAAACTCAAGTGTTGCCACTGGGAGACATGCAAATTAGCGATCAACTGCATTTCGTTGAAAAACCAATAGAGATCATGGGTAGAGAAGTTAAGCAGTTGAAACGTAGCAAGATTCCTATAGTAAAGGTTCATTGGAACTCAAAGCATGGACCAGAGTACACGTGGGAAAGGGAAGATTTCATGAAAAGCAAGTATCCCCACTAGTTCTGAAAGCCAACCATGTTTTGATTTGACGAATAAATTTCGGGACGAAATTTTTTTGGCCTTGGGAGACTGTGACAATTCGTCACTTTGGGATTTCAGGTTAGTACCTTATTTCAAGATCTTTATTTAGAATTAAGTCTTTCGAGGATTTAGCTTCGATGATTAG